CGTAGCTCGGACTCGCTGATCTTGGGATCCTTCTGTCTGTACTCGTCCACCGTCATCCAGACCTGGTTGGTCAACGTCTTGAGGTCGTCTCCACATGTGGAGTTCTGCTTCATAGCCGTTACCAGACTTGAGATCTCTCCCTCCGTAATTTGTTCTGCGGCTTCTGTGAAGTTGGCCTTCATCATGAAAGCCTTGAACTTCTCCCAACTTTCGATAATTTCATCATCGTAGGTGATCACCAGCTGTAGAACCAACTGAGCGGTGCGGATAAGCCGACGTGTTAGCTGGAGACCAGCCGGAACTTTTCTGCCCGAGCACGCGTAAATCGTAGCTGGAAGATCACTAACGACATAGTTGGTCTGGTACAGCAGTAGTAGAAGTTTTGCTTGTGATGTCTGCGGCTCCAAAACCATTTGGTTGCGGGTGAAACGCACGACAGCTCTCACAAAGACCATCATGTAGTTGGCGCATCTGACAGCCCAGCTAACGTGCTTTCCGTACTTGGCCAACTGGCCGAACACGCCAAAGGTGGCCATACTGAAGGCGGACATGGCAACGGCAGAAATCTTGGCAGCGTTCTCACGACCGCAGTCATTGTTCTGTTGGATGCACTGCATGCCACATTCCACGGGATAATCCATCGGACACTCCGTCCAGCACGTGTTGGTTAATTCGTTACGGTCATAGTTGCTCGGACACTTTTTCATGAAGTGAGCTTCGCGATAGCAAGCCGCATCCGAGGACTGAGTCCAAGGTCCCACCCAGTTGCGGTAGGTCGATTTATAGCTGGTAACGGCTGTTGAAGGAGTCGCGATCTCGTCCATTGAAGGAATTGGCAAGTCCAAACCAAAAGAACCAGCTAGCGACAGAGCGTTCGATGCAGAGTTATCATCCGTATCGAGAGAGGAGGCAGAGGACGATGCTGAAGAAGCAGGCGGCTCGGAAGCCGAACCTGAAGAGGAACCGACATCAGGCAACGAACCAGAGTCCGAGTCCGAGTCTGACCCCTTTCCAGAGTAAATCACAGACTTGACATTGTCCATGTAATCGGACCCCATCATATTCGACAGCGTTTCTGGAGACAGGGTCTCTGATATCGACGTATCGGACGACACGGGTGAAGGAGTCGAATCGTCGTCATCGTTCCAAAAGGTCCAATCGATGGCTTGTGTGGTGGTGGTACTGACAATGGCTGTCAAAACGATGAGTGCCAGTCTTAATCGGATCATATTGAAGAGATCGCGGCTGGAAGATACCCGCGAAGCGTTTGAGGAAGTTACCCAAGCGCGTGTGAGTTCGAGGCTGCAAAATGCAGAATGATCCTAACTTGCCTTTTGAACTTCCCGCTTCCTTTCGGATACGGTACCTCGTCAAGCATTTCGATTTGAGGAGTATGGTGATGGGTATTCTGCTGCAAACGCTCGTGTACTGGTATTGGCATTGGTATTGCATAATACACTTTAGCTATAAATATTGAGGACACACCAATTATCTTCGTCTGTAAAATTGAGGGCTAGGCTTGCGTGACCTTGAAACGGTACGCCAAAACAAGAAAAGAACCTACATTTTTTGTAGTTGACACCACAACCCTTACAATCTGAAGATGCATTGATGAACCCTTTTTCAGTTCCAAATTGGGTCACAGTTCAAGGCGGCATAGCGGTTGAACGTTTGGAAAGCCTCACTGCTGGAAGCTATGCAATCACAGGTGCAGCCAATATCAACGAGGCCGTGGACGTCTGCAGTCGACATTTATCATTATACGAAGATAGTGCTATATGTTCAAAGCTATACGATTGTGGAAATTGAGAAATGGAAGATCAGCTTCTCGATCATTTGCAGTCCTATCATATTTCTAGTGATCTGTTCGTAATGTAATTAATACTATTTGTGTATATGCAAATATATTGTATGTCCAGGCGGATTAAATTTATAGATAGTGCTCATAATTATTCAAATAAGACTAGTTTTTATGACGGCTGTACATATACGGATAATAGTACGGCTAGACCAGATTTGCATCGACAATAGCGCTGCTGGTCTAGCCAGTATTGCTCATGTGCATTTTTATCTTTAAGTTCACCATACCGTACTTTGAATTTCACTGCTATCGGATATACAGAGCCCATGATGCCATTTTAATCTTAAAGTCGATCACGAAGATAAGCCGAAAACCATTACCGGCGGAGTGGGTGGCATGCACCAAATTGTGTACTAAGCGAACCAATAGGCACACTGGAACACACCACACGACTGCAGCGTCACAAGAGATTCATAAGAAAGGCAAAAAATAGGTCGTACTATCACGACTTGGAGCCCGTCTCAGCATAGTCCAGCTTACCGCGGATTTATATACGAATCACGGCGGATTTACTACATGAATTACACATAGTTCATTGAATTCTGCCATTATTATCATCTGCAAGTAAACACAGGCGACGTCTTACGGTACGGTACATGTTAATTCTTTCTTTACAGCCAAAAAATACCCATTCCATGAGCCCATTTTATTATTTTTTTGTTGTGCCTACTTTTT